GAGTTCTGGGTTATCTGAGTTTCTTCACCATTATGACAGTGAAAACTTTATCCTATTCGTTCCCACTTTTTCAAAAGCATGCCCCGAGCTGACGGTCACTTTGGCATGTTATTTGACATTTTTCTTTCCGTTATCATGCTAAAGAGCAAAGCAATGAGGAATTCTTTAGTGATTCTTTAATGGGAGAATCTGACAGTATGGAAGCCAACTCAGGAGATAATTGTGACTTCCAAGCAACCTTCCAGCCCTCCCTTTTTGACTGCAGTGCATCTGACCTTTGGGATTATAAAATTGAAAACAAAGCGATAAGTTGCACAAGTTCAAAAAGTTCAGGGACTTGGATTCCACTGGTAAGTTCCTGTATAGCACTCCTAATTGTTCATTATATTGTCCAACTGTGGCATTATTGCTTCACACTATTTAGTGATGGCTGTAATCTACATGGTGACAAATTTTATTACAGCACACAGTTTCAGATTTGATGTGTGGCATATGAAGTTAAAAGGTAAATCAGCTACAATTCAAGGAAAATTATACAAATTGTTTAAAATGTGCAATTCTCTATTGGGGAAAATGAGTATTTAGAAAACTTTCTGATGTGTTTTTGAGTCATCTGGCAGTTATTTTAAGTTCAGGATTTCTTTTTTTTGGTAAGAATTAATTGAAAATGTGTGCTCATTAGATTCATTTTATAACAAAAAGAACCCCTGTTGAGACTATTTATAAGAAAAAATGTTTTATTTAGCTATATTTTTCTAGTTCTAGCCTCCAAAATTATTATCTTGTGAATTAAAAACACATTGCAGGCAGACATCGACTAAGTAATTGTGCAGCTAAATTTCTTGGTATTTAAAAAATGTTTGATCACCTGTGTGAGAATGTGTGTACCTTTCCTACATGTAATTGCTGAAATATGGTGAGAAAATAATTTAGAATGTTTTATAATCATAGATCATTGTAAAAATTGTGGAGAACTAAAACAAACTTGAAAATAGATACATTTTATGGCAATACGTGTATAGCTGATTGAATCTCATATACACACAAATACATACAAGTGACTATATCCTTTTTTTTGTTCAACTAGATTCCCAGATAACTAGGAGTCTATAAGATAATAATTTGGATATTCCAGCTGTCCTAAATATTTCAAAGGCCTTATAGAAACTGTATATTTAATCATAGTATATCTCATAGACTAATAGAATTTCTTTGCTTTTGAAGAGAATGACATCAACTCTATCTGGAAATACTTGTTTCCTTAGGCTAACTAGGAGTTCTGATAGAGCTTTAATTCTAGGTCAGCAATAAAAATGGGACAGTGGATTAATAATTATGCCTTAGAGGAAAGCTTTAAGAGCTGTGGTTCATTCTCAACACCAGCACTCACTAGCTTGTCTATCTTGAGCAAGTTACTTAATATCTACAAGACACAATCTAAGTTCTCATCTTTAAAATGGAAGAACAGGCTTGCTTCATGAGGTAGTTATAAGAAATAAGTTACTTCAAATAACATGCAACAATGACCTTACCTCAGTAAATTGTAGCAATGAGGATTCTTGTTATTGTTATACAATTCATCTGGTCAGCAAAATCTTTTAAAATATGGGATCTAGGAATAAAATTAATAAAAATACGCCATGGTGATGAAGCAGGCTCCATGGCATGTGACTGGCTGAATCCACAGACATGCAAGTTCATTACCAATGGCCTGTTTGATTGATTTTACTCCTAGATTCTTTACTTTGAAAGATTTTTGCCAACCAGCGGTATTCTGTAATAATAACAAGATTCCTCACTGCTGCAATTTATTGAGGTAATTGTTTTGTGATAGGATGAAATGAAAATTATGTTCTTTTGACTGGGTTGCCAAGCACTGCTTAACTATTAAGCAGCGTGTCTGCTCCAGCTATGGCTAGTGCAACTAGTCAGGAAATGAAGAAACTTGTCAGAGTGATGCAGGCGTGCAAGTGAGACTTGAATTAGGGCTTAGCCTGAGAGGTTTCTTGAATTCTCCCAGGAAAGAATTTACTAAAAGAAGTTTCATAGTCATGGTTGCAACGCTTTGGATATTATTTAACAATGACTAAAATCAAGGTCAAGGACTTCTTCTGTGCCCTGACCATGATTTCAAGTTCAATGCAATTCAAAGCTACTTGCTACTGCAATAGAGTTTTGTTTAAGTAGTTAAAAAAAAAAAAAGACTGTTAAAATCTCAAAGCCATGCAGCTGTGGTGATGGACCAGAGAGTATAAAATCTCTACTGTTTTTTTTTTTTTGAGATGGAGTTTCGCTCTTGTTATCCAGGCTGGAGTGCAATGGTGTGATCTCGGCTCACTGCAACCTCCACCTCCTGGGTTCAGGCAATTCTCCTGCCTCAGCCTCCTGAGTAGCTGGGATTACAGGCACACGCCACCATGCCCAGCTAATTTTTTGTATTTTTAGTAGAGATGGGGTTTCACCAAGTTGATCAGGATGGTCTCGATCTCTTGATCTCGTGATCCACCTGCCTCGGCCTCCCAAAGTGTTGGGATTACAGGTGTGAGCCACCGCGCCCGGCCTACTGATTTTTAAAGTTTGTTCTTTCTACTGTCTCCAAGTTCACTGTTGTAATCTTATAACTGAACAGTTCTAAGATTTGTTAGGCAATTCTGAGTCAGGCTGAAAAGAGAATTAGAGTTAAAGAAATTAGGAGACTATCTTTTGCTTTTTTTTTTTTGCCATATGGAATATGTTATTCTGCATTAAAGGGTTAAAAAAAAGGGAAAAGGAGAACAAAGCATCATATAACGTATTTGGGCTACAACAAAAGTATTAAATATGAATTGTGGAAATTAAAAAAAATTCAGGCTGGGTGCAGTGGCTCATGCCTGTAGTTCCAGCACTTTGGAAGGCTGAAGCAGGTAGATCACTTGAGGTCAGGAGTTCAAGACCAGCCTGGCCAACATGGCAAAACCCTCTCTCTTCTAAAAAAAAAAAAAAAAAAAAAAAAAATTGCTGCGCATGGTAGCATGTAATTCTAGCTACTCTTGAGGCTGAGACAGGAGAATCACTTCAACCCAGGCAATGGAGGTCACATCCAGCTGAGATCACACCACTGCACTCAACCCTGGGTGGTGACAGATTGCAACTCTATCTCAAAAAAAAAAAAAAAAATCAAAGTGAGCTGGTGGTGTTAAACATCAGTCTTTTTTTTTTTATTGAATTGTAGCTGCTTCATGCAGAGCAGGGCTGACTCATAGGTAGTGCACCTGGAGTCATGCTTTTGGGGTGTTGGCAACTGTAGTTATACCCATTGTTACTTACATGCAAAGTAAGGAGCAGGTTAATGCAAATTGAGGGGCAGGCCATTTAGAAATCTCTAGAAAGGGAGTGGTAACTTTTGCATCATTGCCATGGCATTTGCAAACTGTCATGACACTGGTGGGAGTGTTTTACGCTAATGAGCAATGAGAGCATCTAGGGATTGCTTTTGTAGCCATCTGTTGGTTTCTGCCAGCTTCTTCACTGCATCCTGACTGGACCAGTTCCTATTTTGGTCAGCAGGGTTGTGACCAGAAGACAAGTCCTACCATTCTCCTACCTCAAAAGGACCATCTTTACAGTTGCCGAGGACTACAACCTGGGGAGTGACCATTTGTGGTTGAGATAGTCTATTTTTAAAATGTGACATTCATAGACATTGGATAATAGAATAAAGCCCTACATGGGTAGATATTGTGAACAACCATGTGCTTGAATTCTGTTTCTCCCTAGCCTCTTGGATCACCCAGAGAAAGAGTCAGAAATGTCTTTGTTGTGATTGAAAACACTAAAGTTTCCTCAAACACTGAGATTCAACCATGGGGTGCTGTACTTAATTTCAGGAGTATGTCTCAGCCACTGACGGTTGAGTTTCCATCAGAGGAGCCTCTGTGATTTGATCTGCCCAAACCTGACATTCTGATATGTCTTCATGACATAAAAATGGAAGTTGAGTTTTAAGATGTAACCTTAGTAATAATTCCTTATATGTTATGGTACCTAAGATTGTAAAGTAGAATGGTTCCTTGCTATCCATGGATATAAAATAATGTATTTGCATATAACCTATGCATATTTTCCTGTATACTCAAAATCACCTCTAGACAATTTATAATACCTCAGACAATACAAATATTCAAACTACGTAAATAGTATACTGTATTGTTGAAGAAATAACAAGAAAAAATCTGCATGTGTTTAGTACAGATACAGTTTTTTTCCCCAAATATTTTTGACCTGCCATTCATTGAATCCACAGATAAGGAACCCATAGACATGGAGGGCCAACTGATTTTCTTTTTTTTTTGAGACAGAGTGTTGCTCTGTTGCCCAGGCTGGTGTGGAATGTCGTGATCTCTGCCCACTCCTGCCTCAGACTCCGAAGTAGCTGGGATTACAGGCATGCGTCAGTATGCCCAGCTAATTTTTGTATTTTTAGTAGAGACAGGGTTTCATCATGTTGGTCAGGCTGGTCTCGAATTCCTGACCTTGTGATCCACCTACCTCGGCCTCCTAAAGTGCTGGGAATACAGGCATGAGCCACTGTGCCCGGCCCCAACTGTATTTTTGTGTGTATTGTATCATAGATCTTCATAGCAATTGCTTGAGAGACACAGAACAGGATGTTGTTGTTCTAATTTTGCAAGTAAAGAAAAGGCTTGCTATGGGTGAGTAGTTAAGCTAAGACACTCAGTTAATGAGAATCAAAATTAGGATTAAGTTCTCAGTCTTCTGACCCTGTGTCGTGTGGCATTCTTTCTATTTGAACACACTATTTTTTGTTGTGGTAACTTATTAGAATATTGGATGCATAAAAAGCTTTGCATTAATAAAGTAGACTTAGACTTGTAAGGAATAATTTGTATGTTAACTTATGTTTGTCATTTTTTGCTAAACTTTATTTTTCTACTATTGTCTTATTTTTTAAAAAGCCAAGCACAGTTGTGAAAACCAATCTCTCTTCTCTCTCTTGTTAGGCTCGAATTATGAAAGATGTGATTTTGAGGATGGGCTCTGTAGTATGGCTCAAGATCAGAGTCTGCAACCTAGCTGGACAAAGAGAAATGGGATGACTGGTCTGTTACCTCCATTTTATGATCACAATGGTGATAAGTCCGGTAAATGCTTTAAATTTATTTTCTCCCCTTTCTCCCTTCCTCCTTTCCTTCCCTCCTTCCTTCTTCATCCTTTCCTGTCTCCCTTTCTTCCTCCCTCCCCACAATGTATAATTAGGGAAGTGGAATCTTGTCTGATATTTACATATTAGTAGTTAAAATGTCTAATTTTATGCATTCTTTAACCAGTTTCAACATATTTATGATTTTAAAATATCTCATTGCATTCTCATAATTGGGTTCCTGGGATTGCAATAGGTCTATTTAGATAATTAGGATTTTCCAGTTTTCTTACTCTTTATGGAAATTATAAATGTAAATGGGATAATATAACTCGATTAATTAGACAAATTTATTTTATTTTGGCTGGACTAGTTTCAGCTCTGTCTAGTACCACTTGTTTAAATCAAGTTGACTAGAAAGATCAACTGAAATGCTCTCTAGACTTTGAGGTAACTCTGGAGCCAGAACTTTCTTTGTTTATTAACTAATGAACTCCATTTATTCAACATTGGGTACTGGGTGTTGAAGATGCATTAGGGAGCAAGAATGGACTCCATGTCTGCCTTTGTCTGATGGGTTTACACATGCTAGGAAAAGAAGTAACACATTTCCTGGCATAACTAGAAGCTAGTTATTTTTATAAGTGATACTTCTCTTAAATAAATTCAATTAAATGTTAAAATATGGTTATTGCCTGGAGGTAATTTGAAATAACAAATTTCAGGCATTGAATGTTAGTTTGGCAATGCTTTCATAAATATTACACATGTGGATTAGACTCCCTGGTCTGTCCCTCCCTAGCTGTAAAATTTTAAGAAATTAATTTTTGAGTCTTAGTTTTTACAACTTTAAGAAGGGGAAATAATGATGGTAAATTTTTAGGATGATTATTCTAAGAAGTATATGAGAAATTATTGATAGATCTTATTATGGAAAACCTGGCACTCAAAGTGGATAGATGTTCAGTCCAAGTAATTTTGGTGGTGCTAATGTTACTTCTATATTGGTAATATAGAGTTTCTTATTTTGTTTGACTTTGATGTCAAAAAATACTTTTGTTTAGAATTTTTAACAATATTTAGAAATCAGCCAGTTTTATTTTTTGTTTGTTTGTTTGTTTGTTTTGAGACAGAGTTTCGCTCTTGTTACCCAGGCTGGAGTGCAATGGCGCGATCTCGGCTCACCGCAACCTCCGCCTCCTGGGTTCAGGCAATTCTCCTGCCTCAGCCTCCTGAGTAGCTGGGATTACAGACACACACCACCATGCCCAGCTAATTTTTTGTATTTTTAGTAGAGACGGGGTTTCGCCATGTTGACCAGGATGGTCTCGATCTCTTGACCTCGTGATCCACCCGCCTCGGCCTTCCAAAGTGCTGGGCCTTGTGAGCCACCACGCCCAGCCTCAGCCAGTTTTATTACCAAAAAGGGACCAGCCTTACAAATAATAACAACCACTAACTACAATAAAGGAAACTTTCATTACAGATTTAGTTATGTTAGATGGTAATAGTGAATCTTGCTCATGACCTAATGGCCATTACTCAGGTTTTTCACAGTACAAATGTATTTACTCTAGACTTTTGTCTTTGGCTCTTACTGCATTCTTGCTTGCCTCCTTCCTGTGGAATTAAATAACTTCAGAAGACACTGTGCTTCCCAACTTTCCTCTCTCTCTCTCTCATCTTTCTGACATTTCCCCTCATTTTTTCATGCATATTTTTGATTGCCTAGTCAAGAGGTAAAATAGGGGCAATCACATCAAAGCTGAGATGTTGTATAGGCAGACACCATAGAACAGTATCATCTGGATTGACGTAACATCTCTGGAGTCAGACTAGATGGCGCTGAAGCCTACTCCTGCCAATCAGCTAGTTTTGCAGTCTCAGTTTCCTCATCTGTAAAACAGAGATGATAATAATGACGCAAGCTGCATAGAAAAAAAGAGACAAAATATTGCCTGGCATAACTAATTGAAGGCTGGTAACTTTGGTAATAGTCATGCATCTCTTACAAATATAGTTAAATGTTAAACTTGTAAAAGTATTCTCTAGCAATAATTTTAAGTAAGCAAGTGTTCTGGTTGTAGACATTAGCTGTTGGAAAATATTTATAGAAAAATGGTCTTTGAATCCTGTCTTTATTCAAAAATTCTTATTTCATAAGTATTAGCCAATTTTTAATTAATTTACTCTTGAAGTAATTTGCCAGTGCTCCAAAATTATATTTTTCATCATGTAATCGGTGCCTTGAGTGGCAAGTCTGAGAATCAGCTGGAACATTAAAAACATCACTGTCAATATTTGAAATGTAGTAAAGCTCTGGGAAGGAATGATTAAAATGTACTGATTTTTTTAAAAGAATGTAACATTGCATTTAGATAAAGTAATATCACTACAACAAAATCAAATATATCTTCATAAGGACAGAAAAACTACATTTAAAGATGGGAATATGAATATGAAAGTTTTAAATAATTCTGGAGTTCAGTTGATATTCAAGGTAATAAAGGGATTTTTAAATGTACAAATCATTTTAAGTCGATCAAAGATTAAAAAATAATTTATTTGAAAAGTCAATATTTCCCATTATGCCACACATTATTATTTTCTAATTTGGGCATTTAAAATCAGTTTTAAATGGGGATATTAGAGCTTTTGTTATTCCGATCAATTGTTAGATCTCAAATAATTCAAATATTATGAAATATGTACACTATTTTTTTTTTTTTGAGGCAGAGTTTCACTCTTGTTACCCAGGCTGGAGTGCAATGGCGTGATCTCGGCTCACCGCAACCTTCACCTCCTGGGTTCAGGCAATTCTCCTGCCTCAGCCTCCTAAACATGTACACTATTAAACAGCATTTTTTATTTTTATTTTCTTTTATAGTGTTCACATATATTTTGTTTATAATCTCTACATATTATAAACACTACAAATCAATATTATAATATTTGCCTTAGCATTAAAAATAAACTGAGGAGGAAATATCATTTTATCATATTTATTATTTTAAGTACTCTTTATTTCTTCTATCTGACTTTGTCTGTGGTATCATTTCTCTTCCGCTTTAAGCAATTCCTTTACTACTTCTTGTAGTGCAGTTCTGCTGGTGATAAATTATGTTCATTTTTCCTTTTGAAAATGTTTTTATTTTGTCTTCATTCTTGAAATGTATTCCTACTGGATATATAATTTTTCATGGTCTTTTTTTCCTTTTAGTGCTCTAAAGACATTATTTTGCTGTCTTCACCTAGTTTCTAATGTGACATCCACAATTTCGCTTTTTTCTGTCTGTAATATATCTTTGTTGTTTTGATGCTTTCAAAATCTGGTCTTTATTGTTGGATTTCAGCATGAACATTTTCAATTTCGTGATACTCATGTTAACTAAGCTTCTGAATCTGAAATGTACGCTGTGTGCCAATTTTGAAAAGTATTTTGCTCTTATTTATTCAGATCTTTCTTCTGTCCCACTCTCTCATTTCCTTTTTGTATTTCAATAATCAGTGTGTTAGAATGTAAGTCTAATATGCTGTTAGATGAGGTCTCACCATATATTTTGATCTTGTTTTCTGTTTATCAGAGTGCATCATTTCAATTGCTCTATCTTCAAGTTCTGTGATTTTTTTGTCTTCATTCTACTGATAAGTCTATCTAGTGATTAAAAAAGAAATCAACCACAGATGCTTCTTGATTTATCATAGGGTTATATCCCAACGAATCCATCATAAATTGGAAATGCATTGAATACACATAATCTACTGAGCATCATATCTTAGCCTAGCCTACCTTAAACTTGCTGAGAACATATACATTAGCCTACAGTGGGGTAAAATCATCTAATGCAAAGCCTATTTCATAGTAAGTATTGAATACCTCATGTCATTTATTGCATATTGTACTGAAAGTGAAAAACTGACTGGCTGTGTTCCTCTAAATATGTATCACTTTTGTACCATCATAAAGCAAAAAAAATCCTAAGTGAAATCATTTTAAGTCAGGGTTTGTCTTCACTGTATTTTTTAATTCTATACTTCTTAACTGACTCTTTTATTTTTTAGAAAAGTTCTCTGCTAAAATTTGTTATCTTTTCAGTCATTATAAGAATATTTTCCCTTACTTCATTGTGCATAATTATAATGGGAGTTTTTAAAATCCTTATGTGCATCATCTCCGATTTAGCTGCTGCTGATTCCATTTTCCCATGTATGATTATGTTGTCCCAGTTCTTTGTCATATAATTTTGAGTTTTATCCAGGATGTGTGAATGGCAGCTCTGGAATGCATTATGTATTCTTTTCAGAGCATGGTGATAATTTGTTTAAGAAGATGATTAAGTTGCATAGACTCAAACGACAAACTTCCTTTTTCTTTTTTTGAGAAGGAAATCTTGCTCTGTCACCCAAGCTGGAGTACAGTGACATGATCTCAGCTCACTACAGCCTCTGCCTCCTGGGTTCAAGTGATTCTCCTGCCTCAGTCTCCTGAGTAGCTCGGATTTACAGGCCAGGAGTGGTAACTTCTGGCTAATTTTTGTATTTTTAGTAGAGATGGGGCTCTCCACGTTGGCCAGGCTAGTCTCAAACTCCTGACCTCAGGCAATCGGTCTGCCTCAGCATCTGAAAGTGCTGGGATTACAGGTGTGAGCCACTGTGTCCGGCCTCAAATGGCAAACTCTTGATTGCTGTGGGCAGCAGTCCGAATATCAATTCAACTCCTCTAGGCTTAGCTGGTAGAAGTGCTCCCTACACATGCAGGTTTCCATTTTGGCAAGAGACTTGGACAGAAATTATACATAGAACATGGGGCACTAGTTTTTGTTTTTGTTTGTTTTTTGTTTTGTTTTGATTTTTTTCTGGGTCTCTATAGAATTTATTTCCTTTCTTTCTGTCAAACCTGGTTATTCCAGGCTTCCCTTCCTGGTTCCTCAGGCCAAGGAGAGAGAAGCCCTTCTGTCAGAATTTTAGCCTTGCACTCCACCTGCAGCTGCAGCTGGACCC